GGTCCCTCTAAATCATAATTCACTTAACCCCGAAACCCTAAGCTGAAGGAAGCCCTAAAGAAGCCTAAACCATCAGGTTACTGTTGGTGATATAAATCCCGCATGGCCTTAAGGACCCTAAGCTGTGGGAAGTATGGTGTATTCCTTATTGTGGCTAATGCAGGATTTATAGTAAACCCCAAAAAGTTGGAAACCGGATTAAGGACAAATAGTGCTGGGATTCCCTATAGATTACTCTTAAGGATTGAGGCTATTGGGTTTCCAACTTTTGGGCTTCTACTATATACCATCAAAATCGTAGCCGTATCCATGGGGACTCGCCCTGAGATCCTAAGGCTCTCTTTACTACGGGGCCATGATGTTCAGAAGAGGCTTCTAGAAACGGTTTAGGGTTTAGGGTTTAGTATAGGGTTTACGGTTTAACCTTTTAAAGGGTGTTGCAACATCGGTGACTGGGTTCTGAAAAGGTTTTAGAATACAGTCCTTATCATTATAGAACCCTTGTGAACCCCCTTCCCTAAACCGCATAAAACCCTATTTATTTTGCAACTGGAGATCCCAAACAGTGATCGATCATACCAGAAGCATGACACTGGGACAAGAAAGTCCCGACCACCGTCACATGCCAACTCGCCTGAACTACTTGGAAAACGCACTGGTCGCAATAGGTTGCCATCCCTAAACCCGAAACCCGTAAACTTAAACCCCAAACCCAAGAGCAGCCGACCACGAAGAGACGGCCAGGAGACCAGCAAGTGATCACCACGACACTCTAAGTTTAGAAGTATGGGCCCCTAATATAGACCCTTTAGGCATTTCTAGAAACCCTTAAGGGTACATATAGGGTATGTAGTCGGTGTACAAGGGTCCCAGGGGTAAGGGTCAGTACTAGGGGCCCATGGTTTCAACCTTGGAGACACCAGGAGATCACCAAACCCTAAACCCTAAACCCGAGAGACCATCAGGACAGCAGGAGATCATCAGGAGATGGCCAGGAACGGGTTTGAAGCTTTCAGGTTTAGGGTTGAAGGGTTTAGGGGCTTTGGAGTTTAGGGGTTCAGGGTGTAGGGTTTAGGGTCGAAGGGTTGAGGGGTTCAGGGTTCAGGGTTTAG